GTATCAACACAAAACTGTTTTACATGAAATTCTTAACAATCCTTATTAAATACATTCTTCATGAATATCATAGCTGCCCCAAAATCAAAGTTTGAAAAAACAGTAAAAAAGTGCGCGGTGTCCCCCCTTAAGAAATAACTAATAATTACCTTTCCAAACAGATCAATCACTTGGCCAAAGTTAAGCAGCTCCTTTCCTGTTGCCAGCATTTGGCTGTCGTACTGGTCGAAAATGCTTCCAGTGCCAGCGGTGAAGTTCATAAGAAAGAAGACAATTGGTTTGGTGTGCAAAGCCTCTGACCGAGAGATGGGCATCAAGATGCGAGACTCTCGCTGATAAGGATCAAAGTAAAAGGAGCCATATTCAGCTGTTGACTTGGCGCTATTGCCAAACACTTTAAAGTGACGCACATTCGGTCCCCAAGTGTTCTTCTCGTTCTTGATTTCGACAATTTTAATTCCGAATAGATTTTCAGCAAACTCCAGCATACCGGTCACCACACGCTCCAGTGGGAAATGAGCACGAACATCACGCGAATCAATGTGGTACATTTCACGAAGGAACAGTCGCTCAAAGTACTTCAAATCCCACAGGTTCAACTTTTCCACCAAGTTATTTGCATTTGCCGGCTGCTTGCTTAAACTTTGACGCTGGGCTCCACTGGTTGCGAATTCGGTCAGTTCTTTAATATTTTTCTCAAATCGAGTATCGGTACGCATTCCAAGGCCATTGATGAAAGCACGGACATTCTCCACGCTGCCGGCCATGGTTGGGCCACCGGCTCCACGCAAATCATTGGCCATTTGAGCAAAATTGTCGTAGCCCAAAAGACGTGCTTTTCGATAACGGCTATCGCGAATTTTCTCAATTGACAAAAAGTTGTTCATAGTTGAGCCAAGATAAGGTGCCGCTCTGGAGTAATAAGACAGCCAAAAGTCTTTTCGCAAATTCTGATCCGGACAATAGCGCATAAAGGAGTTGAAAACCGAATTGGCGTCGTGGTGGTTAATTTGCGTTATCACATGATCAGGAAGACAGTCGAGGAATTGAGGTGAAATTATGTTTGACTGGAAGATGCTTGTCGCCTGGTTAGCGGTAGAGACAAAGTTTTGCTGCTCCTGGATCAGCTTGTCGTTGATTAGATTGTGGATGCTTAACTGGTCATGGTGCTTCAAACTAAGACCAAGTAACTTGGATTCGCGAATATACCGATCCACAAGTTGGTTTCGTTGCTGTTGCAGAAAGAGAGCCTCCTCGCTGGGGGATTCAGTTGAGCCTGATTTTCCATTTGAGTCTCCATTCTCTCGCCGAGCTTTCAATTCACACATGAAGCAGTAGATATATCGATTGAGATAACGTAGCTTTGTTTTTGAAAGTCGCTGTTGAAAAAACTCATCGAAAGTCTTGAAGTTAAATTCATTTGGACGAATAATGCGAAAGGCACCCAAAAGATTCAAGTTCAATTGCAGGGGAAGCAGGCGTTTTTCTATTTCATACACAAATTCATTCAGCTTTGCAGTTGAAACTCCTTTTAAACAGAAATCGTTTGTAAATAAGCAAATTAAAATACAAAAATTAAGTTTTACCTTTATCAGCAAACTCTTCTTTCAAAGTTTTACTGTAGTCGTCAATAAAATGCTCAAGCTCAATTGTTAGCTTTCCTAAAGCACGAATACATTTCTCCACTGCTAGTTTATCAAATTGAATAACTCCATTTGTAGGAATCCCCAAAAATTCGTTCGTTTCAGGGGTATCATTTGGAATTTCTGGAAAACTAAAAAGACAACAGTTAGCTGATCATTAATCCACACTGATCTTACATCACGTATGTTGGTTGATCTTTTACTTCTGACTTTGGTGTTTTTTGAAAGATCAAGCTGGTTGCGCTTGTAGTAATATTTCGGTGGTGGAGGATTTTTGAATCATGAAAGAGACAGCTCTGACAACGGTGCCTGGAAAGAGAATCCTGAGCCGCCGAATACAGGCGCCTGAAAACATGTCTGCTATAAAGACGACCAAGTTGAAGAGGCAGCATGACGGAGGACTAATAAATAACCCTTCAACTTTAAAAATTCAAAGTAAAAGGAGAAAGATTTGATGTCCGCTTGGTTAAATTGTAATCCAAACAAACAGCACCGGTGAGTTGTTTGGATGCATTCTCGAGGACATGCGGTATCAGGACAGATCACCGAAGGGAACATGTGTGCGAACTTGTGTAGGCGGTCTCAATGAAGGGAACACATGTTTTTGTTTTGGGTCGTAA